CACAGTATGTGGGTCTATAGATTATCTTCCCTTCAGAGACTGTGGTAGAAAAATTTAATGTGAATTTATCAATATATATATATATATGTGTGTATTTAAGTTGTTGATCATAATTTGTGACCAAATAATTATGAATAGATAGGCCACTATCAATTACCTAACTCAAACTTTTGGACCATAAAACTCAGCAAAGAATCTTTCACTTCGCTTTGCTTTGATTGGATTAATCTTTTGTAAAATACCCTAATGCGTCTCGGCACTCTGGCATCTAAATTGTATTTACAATTTTTAATTTTGTTCTACACCAGTATATTGGGCATCACTTTTGGCCCAATTTCTTGAATCTCACCTTAATTTATTAATACATAATTGTATACTTTTTTATTATTATTATTTATATGAGTTGAATCTCATCCTAATCCCATGCCGATTTAAAGTCTTTGCGGAGCACCACCATACAAAAAGATTCAAAGAAGCACATTCACGTTGCTCATGTGTTCCGACTAAACAAGTTTATTTTTTGCTTTGTTTATTGCATATAACTATAAAAATAATAAGAATATTTTATTATAAATATCAAATCAAAACATTTAATAGGACAAAGGTACACTTCTTTTTATTTATTAATTAATCAAACTAAAAATTTATAAAAACAAAACAATAACATATCCTGGAGATCTGGACATCTTTTACAATCACAAATGTCATTAATTTTATTTTGCAGTAACAAATACGCCAAAAGAATTATTCAATGTCAAAATTTGAAATCCAATTTATCCTTTTAGAAGAGTAATTGGATGTTAATTAAAATACCAATTCAATGTTAAAGTTTGATATAAAATAATTATTTTGATGTATTTATTATTAAGAAGACAATTAACTTATTACATTTATATTTTTATTATAGGACCAGAATTGAGGCACTAAAAAAATATTATAAAATTTAAGGTGTGCTTTTACCGGGCCTGCATATAAAAAGGTCGACGTTGGGTTCCATCTTCTTTGGACTATAACTTTTTTTAAAGAAGATTGTTATTTAAATGCTTATATTACTTTTTAATTAACATAATAACATCTAAGTTTAAATAAATTTATAAAAACTTTGAATGAACGTAGTCTTCACTTTCGAGATCTGAATCCGAAGAACACAAAAATAACGAAATACCAATCAATCACCTTTCATTTCCAATGAGTAAGACGGGAGGTTAATATTAAGATGAATGTATTATAGTTAAATTGGATCCAAGCATTTAATTGTGATATAAATATTTGAGCTCAGAGAGCCATTGTCTAGGACTCAAGTATTATTTTATAAATTGTATTTTTTAGTATATATTCATTTTTAAATTACTTCGTCAATGACAACATTGAATCGTTCAAGTGGTAAGAGGGCCACATATGTAACCTTAAAGGGTGTAATAGTCTATATAGGGGTGCCTTGAATCAGCAGTAGTATGAACTAAGACTGAACAAGGAGTCCCAGATGCTATATGTATCAAAGGAGCAGTGTAAATGGCAATGGTGGCTCTCCAAGTTTACAAGGTAACCGCTCATAAAAAGGTCATCCATTATGATGTGGAAGAGATGGGTAATTATAGGTGGGATTGAGCCTTTTGCAATATGGGAAAGTGAGCCAAGTTAACTCTTATGGGGAGAAGCCATATATGCTCGCCCTTATTGTGGCAAGGTGCTTTGTAACTGCTGCAAAACTGACAAGGCTGTTGTGCAGGAAAGGTATAAGGGAGGGAGCATTTTGGGTGTCTGCTTAGGCAAAGGGGATGTTGGGGTTTTCCAAGTAAGGTATTTTGATGTCTAACATTAGGGACACTTCTACATGAATACCTACAAGGTGGTGTTTCTGAAGTAGGGCTGAGCTTATGGTATTGGGCTAGACTTACTGTGCCAGCGAAGTGGGCTGGCCAGAACAGACATATTATTAAATTATTACTCAAAATCACCGACACATTGGTCTACAAAACTTTGCCAAATCCAAGAATATAATGGCACGTTTATTTGTGCTTTTAAAAAATTATTTCTAATTAAAACAATTTTATAAAATTTGTGATAATCGTTCTCAACCGGCTTCACTAGCTAAGTGCAATGGGCTAACCACCAAGACTCATTTAAAAGGTTTGTACTCTACATCTCAAAAGTCGATTCTCATAATATAATCTCACTCTCCTAAACCAACATACCTCACACCAAGTATTATAGGTGCACTTGCTTCATGCGCACATGATGTCCTTTGGGAAAAACAATTGTGGCTCTCTTCCTTACAATTAGTGAATATTTTTTACTTATAAATACTCGTCTTTAGTCATTAAAAGGGCATCAAATACTAAAAAAAGGGAATACTAAAAAAAAAGGGAATATTGAATACATTATTTTACGAGTTATTACTTTTTCAAAATATAAAGTCATTTTCCCCTTAACATCATTCCCCTTCTCTCAGCCTTCACCTGAGGCACTCATGGTAATTTTCATCATAGATCTTTAGTTCATACCATAGTATCTTTGAATAATGTTATATTGAAAAACTTCACTTTATCAAGAGAAGCAGATCTAATTTCACCACCTAACAGTTCATTAATTAAATATATTTTTAAAAAATATAAATTATTATTATCGTTACTATGAAGAAAGACATAAACACCAAATTAAACTACAATCGGAGCAAACCTCACAAAAGTGGTAAAAAAAATATCTGACCATACCTAAACGGGGGAGATGGAAATAGTTATTATGATTCTAAAAACAAATATTTTGTTACTTGTAACGCCCCGTCTCGAGCCGATTGGTTAACATGCAATATGGTAATAACAGTGCTGTGTACTTAAAAAAGTAACGGAAGACTAAAAATAAAGTATCACGATAGTTCTCTGTAACTATGTGACTTAAATTTTTCCTTTATGTAACTTGCCACACATAACTTTTTTTTCTATTTATGATTTGTACAGTCCCATACCCGCACAGACTCCATACTATCTTTTTTTTTTCTACACGTAACTTAGTTAATTTCTTAACATTTGACTTAATTCTCTTAATTTTTCTACACACTATCTATTTAAATTAAGCACACTTATATCACATAAAATTCACCTAACAATTTAAGTAGACTGACAGAATTCAGTTCAGGCCTAGTTTGTCAAATCACCAAAATATCCATATTTTACCAAATTGACATCTATGTCTCTCAACATAACTTATACTTATATTTAGGTCCTAATTGACTTGTTAGGAATGAATTGTATCCTCATATTCATAATCATGATAATTTCATGATGTAACTGTCAGAATTCTCACTGAACTAATAATTAACTCTTAAACTTGTACTTAATTTTTTATTTAGCAAATCTTAGTAGTGAGGGTTGTTATATTACTTATCTAAAGGATTGGTCCTCGCGAGTAATGGGTTGAAAGTAGCTCTGAAGGAATCATGCACACCACGTTCGAGCAAGTCATTAGCTCGAAGCCACTAACAAGTGCAGAAAACATTACGATGGCTCTCTTTGAAGAAAAAAGTGGGAAAAAACTTGAGGAAAACACTCGCGTGGATGAGGAAGACTTTAGAGCTAGGAGTGTCAAGAAGTCTAAGGGTGCTGACATGGTGGATGCAAACATGGATGATGAGATGGAAGATACGAGGGTCGAAGGCGGTAGATGAGAATGCTTCAGATCATCCAGAGAATGCAACAAAAGCAAAGCGAAAAACTCAGGCAGAGCTAGAAAGGTGGTTTCTTACATGGCAAAGTGTTATGCCTAAATGGTGATGGCAATGGGACTGTTAGCGAAGAGGAGGACCCGAGAACAATACAAAGAGGAGACGAGGAGGAAGAAGACATACCAGACAAGATGGGTGAAAGAAAAGACGATGATCCCATTTGTTCAACTTATGTGTTCTCAAGGCAACAACACAAGGAGGATTGCAAGAAGTGGAGGAATGCTCATATAATCAAGATTATGGGAAAGAAAATGGCATCAAGGTTTCTTATGGCTCGTTTACAGAGGTTATGAAATCTGATAAGTTCGCATGAGTTGACTGATCTGGATAATGGACACCTCTTCCTCAAGTTTCAAGAAGATTTGGACTACTCCCATGTTCTTCATGAAGGACTATGGATAGTGGCTGACCATTATGTCATTGTGCAATGATGGGGACCTTTCTTCGATCTATATAATGATGAGGTCAAGAAACTTGCGATCTAGCTCTGTATTCCAGGGTTGCCAATCGACTTCTACACAACCCAGCACTTGTGGAGAATCGATGATATGCTGGGTAGGACTTTGAAGGTGGATAAAACTTCACTAAGGAGACTATAAGGTATTGAAAGAGAGATTAAAGACAAAGCGCGCTTCGCAAGGCTGTGTGTAGAGGTGGATCTACAGAGAAGCTTTGTTTCACGTTTTAAGCTCTGGGATTTCATACAAAAGGAGTTTATATATCTGAATGTAGGCTATGAGGGGCTACATTTGATTTGTTTTGGTTGTGGTCGCTATGGGCATCGTAAAGATGCTTGCAATGGGGGGACTAGACCATGTAAAGGAGACCACAAAGGAGACAACCATTACCAAGAAGAATCAGGGTGAGAGGGTACCCAACACTCAGGCCAAAGGAAAGTCATTCGGAGATTCCATTATGATAGCGGAGAAGAATAAAAATGAAACACAACCTTTTAGGGCATGGATGGTTGTTAAGAGAAAATCAAAGAGTCAAAAAATTATTTTAGTAACGAAAAACTCGTCTGAGAAGAGAACGGAGAAAGCAACGGCAACCCATGCCAGAATTCAACAAGGAGGAAACAAAACTGTGAAAGGGGACCTCGAGAAGGGTGATGCAGACAGGCCCAGTGACTCAGGAACACAGGACCCAACGAATGGTGGTGCAGAATAATCCTCAAAAGAGAAATGATTAGAGTTTGACTTTGAAAGATAAAGCTAGGATTAATCATCAGAGGGGAAATTCTTTAGACTCGGTTATCATCAAAAGAGGAGATGGTAAAATGGTCCATATAAAAGTTGAGACGGTGGGGCAGGGTGTCAGAAAAAGCATGAATCAAAAAGGTATTCAGAAGACAGTAGAGGTAAAAGTCAATGCATGTAACATGCAGACTATTGCTCCAAATAAAGCTTCTAGTTGAGGTACTAGTTCAGTGGGTATTGAGTTGGAAGAAGCTAATATACCTGGTACCAAATATCTAGATACTTTGGAGTTGATGCGACATTACGAACAAACATACCCAGAAGCAGCGCGTTTGGCTGATGAAGGATTATTGAATGGTAATACCATGCCGCGCTAGCAGGACCATGTGTCCTCAGCCCCATTATTACCATTTTTATTTGTTTTCCATGAATATTATTATGTGGAATTGTCGGGGTGCTAACAAGAAAAGTTTTTTCTTGTTTATTAAGGATTTGAAACAAAATATAATATTAAAATAATGGTGTTAACAGAAGTGCGCATTAGTGGCTTGAAAGCTAGTAGGAAGATTAAGCAGTCGGGCTTGATAGCCAATTGAAGCAAGATGCAGTTGGATACTTAGGAGATATTTGGCTGTTGTGGGATAGGAGGAAGGTGAGCATTAATATCCTAGCATCTTATAATCAATTCCTTCATGTTAGTATAAATTGTTTGTTACTAAGAATGGGGAGGTAGCTACGTTTGTCTATGGGTGTCTTAGGAGGATTGGACATAGACTTCTCTGGGAGGAATTGCTCAAAATAAGCCTAACTGTCAACAAACTTTGGCTGGTGATGGGAGACTTCAATGCAATGACTAATGAAACAAGAGAAAAGAGTAGAAAGTGCTTCTTGTACAGGAAGCATAAGGGAATTTAATGAGTTCCTTATAAAGTGTGGTCTTTCAGACATTGATTTTAAGGGGCCTTTTTTTACTTGGAGAAGAGGCAATCTCTATGAACGATTAGATAGAGCAATGGTCAAACGCCTTGGGCTGATAGTTATCAAGAGAGATTCATTCTACATATACCTTTCTTTTGTTCGGATCATAAACCAATCCTTTTGTGGGAAGGTTTCCAAAGAAGAGTTGAGGAACACAACAATTCCTTTTGTTTCCTTGCTGCTTGGCTGACCTGTGATGGCTTTAATAAGCTAGTCAATAGTTGTTGGGGTAGGGTGACAAACTGTATAGATTCTAGTACGTGCTTTCATATCAAAGCTGGTATTTGGCATAAGTAGGTTTGTAAGGAGAATATTCGTAGAAAGAACTGGTTACATGCGCGCATTATGGGCATTGACGAGGAGCTTCAATCTAATTCGAATACTACGCTTGAGGGGTTGCAAAAAAGTCTTTAGGTGCAGTTAAATAAAATTTACGCCCAAGAAGAACTTATGTAGTATCAGTGCTCAAGGTGTCAATGGTTGGTGGATGGTGACCGTAACACCAAAATTTTATTATGCTATAATAGTTATTCATAGAGGAAAAATAAAATTTTGATGCTCAACGACGAAAATAAGAATTGGATAGAAAATCCTGCAGAACTCAAACATATGGTTGGCAGTTTTTTCAAAAAACTCTATGAGGATAATGGGTTAGTGCTGTGTCCATTTCCAGTCTCAGGCCGCTTTCCCAAAATTTATAGTTTGTCCTTCTTACAATTGCATCGTCCCCCTCGCCAAGAGGAGATTAAAGAAGTGCTTTTCAGCATGGATGGCTTCAAGGCACCTATTCCAGACAGCCTACATGCTCTTTTCTTTCAATCTCAATGGAACTCCTTGAATAATTCAGTTATCAAGCTAGTTCAAGATGTGTTCCTCAATCCCCAGAATATTAGGGGTATTAATAAGTCTTTAAATTTGCCTTATTCTAAAGGAAGATAATCCTGATTCTATAAGGAAGCTTCGTCCCATCAGCTTGTGCAATGTGGTGTTAAAGGCCATCACCAAAATTATGGCAAATAGACTTAAACCCCGTCTAGGAAATCTGATTATGCCAAATCAATGTGGTTTCATCAAAGGGAGACATAATAGCAATAATATCATAATAGCTCAAGAGGTCATGCACTCTATGAAGATGAATAAAGGCAAAGTGGGATGGATGATAGTTAAGGTTGATTTAGAGAAGGCCTATAATAGAATTAATTGGGTTTTTCTAAGGAATACTCTTGATGAGGTTGGCCTCCATCAGCAGACGATAGAACTGATTATGGAAGATTTCTCTTATGTATCAATGAGTGTTCTTTGGGAAGGAGCCAAAACGGAGGAGTTTACTCCAACTAGGGGCATAAGGTAGGGGGACACGTTGTCCCCTTACCTATTTGTCCTATGTATTGAAAGGTTGGCTCATATGATTTTGGAAGTAATGGACAAGAAGATCTGGAGACCAATTATCCTTCGAAAGGGAGGACCTCTCATCACTCATTTGCTTTTCGCAGATGATTTGTTGCTTTTTGCAGAAGCACCATTTGAGCAGGCCAAGATCATTAATGGAATCTTAAGATGCTTCTGCGAATCCTCTAGGAAAAGAATTAGTAAGGAAAAAACTAGGGTATTCTTATTTATGAATGTGAATCATACTAGAGCAAATGAGATAGCCCAACATATGCAGTTTCCAATAGCTGCAGATTTAGGAAGATACCTTGGGATACCTCTTTTATCTACCAGAGTGAATTCTTCGACCTTTAATCATGTCCTCCAAAGGGTGAACAAAAGGTTAAATAGCAGGCAGATGAATTCTCTTTATCTTGCAGGTAGGGCCACTCTAATTCAATCGGTGTTCGCTGCAACTCCATTCTACACGATGCAAACTTGCTTGCTTCCGGTAAACACGTGCATGTGGTTAGAGAAAATATCGAGAGATTTTCTATAGGGATCATCAAGGGAGAAAAGAAGAATACATCCAGTGGCGTGGGAGAAGGTGTGCAAATCCAAAAGGAATGGAGGCATTGGGCTGAGGAAAATAAGGGAGACAAATCAAGCTTTTATGATGAAGATTGGGCATGGTTTGCTCACCTACAAAGATAGACTTTGGGCTAAGGTGCTAAGGAACAAGTACAAGGTGAACGATGACCTGTTACCTGAGTTAAAAACTGTTAACCGAGCATCGAATCTTTGGAAGGGTATTAGCAAGGTGTGGTCAAAAGTCATTGATGGATTTCAAATACAACTAGGAGATGGTCTTCTTACTAATTTCTGCGGGGAAAACTGGTTTCTCGGGAATATAAAAGTGCAACTCAAACAGGAGGTAGTGATATTTGACGAGGTTAAGGGTTGGAAAGTGAGTGATTTTGTTGATGAGCAAGGAAATTTGAAATGGTCTACTCTAGAGCAACTTGTGACTCCAGCTACTCTCGCCCAAATTGCGAATATCATGCCCCCAACATTGACCAAGGCTCTGATTTTGTCATATAGGGCCACACTAATGATGGAAATTTTTCAATAAAGTCAGCTTATGGAGGGGAATCAGTTGGCGACAATGGACGTGGCATGGTCTTGGAAAGGGAATAAGAGAATTTAGATGTTTCTCTGGCTGACATCCAATAATCTTCTTTTGACTAATATAAAGAGACTTCAGAGGCATCTCTCAGACAGTGGCATGTGTACAAGATGCAATGGGGGAGAGGATGATATTTTACATGTTCTCAGAGATTGCAGTTGGAGTATGGAATTATGGGACTTTCTTGGAGTGACACAGTGGTGGTCTGAATTCTTCCAAGTTCCTTTCACCAGCTGGTTTAAACAAAATTTAGAGAGGAAAATGCTATTTCAGAGCTATAACTGGGACAAACTCTTTGGAACTATATGCTGGTTGATTTGGAAAGCTCAAAATAGTTGGATTTTCGAACAGAAAAACATAAACCAACAATCAACCATAAGAAGAGAGAAAGCCTTTATTTCCCATTTAGACGAAGCTTATATAATACTGTGTAATCAAGGTCTTCAAGCTTGTGGTAAAATGCAAAGATTCATTAGCTGGAAATTCCCAGCCGAAGGATGGTGTAAGCTTAATGTAGATGGTTCAAGTTGTGATGGAGGTAGGAGATCAAGCTGTGGAGGTGTGATCAGAGATGATTCTGGCAAGTGGTTGGTTGGTTTTTGCAGAAACCTTCATTTACCAGAGCAGAGCTATGGGGATTACTCAATGGCATGACTCTTGTGTGGAATCTCAGATTAAGGAAACTTTGTATTGAGGGGGATTCTCAAGTAGCCATCAATCTTGTTTTGAATGGTAGCGAGGGACAGCACCCCATGGCCCCTCTAGTTAGTAGGATTGGTGATCTAATGGAGCGACAATGGAATACTAGGTTGGAACAAACCTATAGGAAGGGCAATATGGTTGTAGATAAATTAGCATATATGTGTTATTCTTTTGCTGATTGGGAGTTACACATCTTGTAGGAAGCTCATGATAAATGTAATGTACTAGTTAATAGGTGTAAGAACTCGCACCGTTAATTAAGGTATTTAATTAATTAATTATGCAAAATTAGGAAATGATTTCATAATTGACCCTAATAATTATTATGAGGCTTTAATAATTATAGTAAGTGAGTAATAATGCCGAAAGTCGCTTTTCGGAAGAAAAGTGCAGATACCGGTTCTGCTAGTCGATATAAATGCGTGCCGAAAAAGTATCCCGGAAAATTAATATAAGTGCGTGTTAATTACTAGAATGATATGTAGGACTTGTAAAACGAGTTTCAAGTCCAAATAATGAGAACTGGTGCAAAAAACCGGTACTGGCTTGAAAAAGCGCGTACCGGAAAGGTGCTCAGAAAATTACGAAACAAATATGATAATTCTTAGAAAAATGTCTAGTTTCAGAATCAAAAATTTGGGATTAAAATGCTAAGTCTGGCAATTAAAGATAATACTGTGTGTTAAGTGGCTTGGGCTATAAATACCCATTTTTAAGGGCACAAAGCCCTAGATACCAGACTTTGAACGTGAGTTGTTGGTGGAGGCTGACCAATTTCTGTTCCTTTGTCCTTCTCCCTCATTCTTGAGCCAAGTTGTGACCTTTATTGGTTTTCTTCACCCTTTCTTCTTGTATACACTTGGGTGGTGACTTGTGAGTGTGGAAAGTGGGCTTGGGGGAGTGCTCAGCCACTGTTGGTGAGGGGTTTTGGGGCTGACTTGGTTGGTTTAGTTGTGAGAAGCTTGGCTTTGGTTTTTGGAGGTCCAAGTGGGGAACTTTGCTCTAAGGGAACCAACCTTTATGGTGCTATTTTCGTGCACATCTTTGAGTCAGACTTGAGGGGCGGTGTTGAGCTCCAAGAGCACCTCCATTTTCTGTTTTAAGCCTTTGGTATGTATACCAACCTTTGATCTTGAGTTTAATGCTTAAAAATGAAAGCTTGATGCATGTTAAGGCTTAAAGATGATAACTTGTTGTTGGGTAATGTTGAACACACCTAGAAATGCATGTTTAGGTGCTTTAAATCGTTAAAAACCCAACCTTGGAAGGATATCTTCACGAAATGCATTTTCTGCATTCTGTCGTGAAATATCCGGATATGTGCCCGATGAATATCCGGATATGTGATATCCGGATATGGGTTTTGTGTATCCGGATAATAGATATCCGGATATGGGATTCTGGATATCCAGATATGGCATATCCGGATATGTACAATGAGATATCCGGATATGGTCCCGAGGAATATCCGGATATTCTGGGATTTCGTAGAACAGTAGCTGTGCTGTGTGTACAGTAGGCTATTGGGGGTTTGTGGACCCTAGATTGATGAAGTTGAACTTCTGTAATTAATGAACTAAGTCAGAATCGTTGTGATTAAGGACTTATGGCTTGGTATGGAGCCTTAAGACGTAAAACGTAAGGAGAGGCGTTGTCTTTAAGTTATATGCTTGTGTTGCATTATTATTGATATAGTATTGGTCCATAACAGATTGTGAATCTGCTGTGTTTGGACTTTGAGCTGTGGACTCTTGGCTTTTGGAGTTAGCTTGCAAGGTAAGCTTTCGTGTCCTCGGTTTAGCCATGTTGTGGTTCCACCATGTCCCATGGGGGTATGGTTTATGCATGCTGTGTACATGTTTTTGGATATTTGATATGTTGATTGAACTTTACATGTAATGGCTTTTAATATGCATGTGTTGTTTCATCTTGACGGGAAGTCTGAGTATGTAGCGCCATACAAGACGGTGTACCGGGGTGAATGCAAGTGGTACTTGCACAGTGTGTAGGTGATAGACGTATACCTGCACTGTCTCTGGCCAATAGATTAGTATTGACACACATGGCATGATTATCTGCTGCATTGCATTGTTTTAGAAATGATAAATGATAAACTGTTTTTGAACTTATATTGCACATGTAAGTGAGCTTGGGGTGGAAGATCCTTGAGGACTCACTGACTTACTGAGATTTCTAGATTAGAGATCTTACCCTACGTTTGGGGAATGCTTATTTCAGGATCAGGTAGTATGGGTACTGATGCCTCAGGCGGCAGGAGGCCGGAGCTTAGCTGATTATGTTGTTTCTGCTTATTTGTTAGCATGACTGGATATTGGCGCTGATTATGTTTTATGCCTTTTATAATTATGTTGTTGTTGAGATTGATGTTGGGCATGTTGTCTTATTTGAGTGAGCATGGGGATTGTCCATGACACTTTCTGTTAGTACTTGTAGTTTGGAGTTGTTTAAACTGTTAGATGGTCCGGTCTACGTTGTTGTAGTTCCGTGACACTTTCATTATCTATGTTATGAGGTATTTCAGTTAGCTATTTTATTGCAATTACATACAGGCGATGTTTTATTGATTGATTATTAAGCAAGTTGGTAATGTTAATGGCATCATAATTAAAAAGAAAAAGTAATTCCGCATTTTAATTAAGCGCAGCTTAATACGATATTATGATAACATTACCGGATATATACGGGGTGTTACATTTATGGTGTCAGAGCAATGGTTCGAGGGAAAAGCCTGTATGTATTGCAATTGCTAGGTTGTTTGGTTGTGTCTGTCTTTGTGTTTACTCCGTCGAATTTTATTATGATGATGTATATGTGATCACATTGCGAGGGCCTGATCAACTCATAATTTGTGTAACTTGTGCAGAGTCATGGTAAGGTCCGGGAGAACACGAGAGACTTCTGAGGATCAACCCGATCCTATCCTGACTGCATTGGCTGAGATGCAGGCGGCTAGGTTAGCCGATCAGGAGGCCGCTAGAGTGGCCAACGCGGCAATGATGGAAGTTGTTCGCGAGGCGAACCGGATAACCGCAGCTGAGGTTCGTGAAGCGAACCGGAGGACCAATGAGGAAGTCATCGAGGCGAACAGGATGGCGAACATGACGATGATGAGAGTCATGTTGGAGGAGATGAGAGCTGGTCCTGCTATTGGCCAGGCTCCACCACCACCGCTACCATCGCCACCGCCTCCACCTAGTGTTCAGGAGGAGAGCCATAGTCACATCGGCAGTGCTACTCATGCCGCTGAGACGGGGGAGCCCCTTGTGGGGATTGCTGAGGATCGTGATGTGATCGATCGCCGGCTGAATGCTTTCAAGAAGCATAAGCCACCTGATTTTGAGGGGTCTTTGGATCCTATTGCTGCTGCGAGATGGCTGGAGTCGCTGGACAAGATTTTTCGGGTCATGCAGTGTACAGACTGATAACTCATATTTTGTTACACTTATTTATTACTCTTGGTTGGTATTTTTATGATTTATTTGAATTAAATAAAGGTCTTTTGGGTCAATTCACAATTCTAGATTTTAGTTGGGTTTAATTGATTTTTGTCATAATTTTCCAGATTTACACTACTTCCGTATTTTGACCATATCTCACTCTACAGATGTCCGATTGACTCCTTTCTTGTTTCTTTTTGCAGCTAACAAATAGGGCTACAATCGCTATTTCAGCTACTGAATCCCAATTCGGACGGAAATATGGTCGAAACTTGATCTCAAGATGACGTGTTTTGCTGGAATTTTATTTTGATGTTTGAACTTGTAATTCACATTAGGACCCAATGTGTTTAGGGCCCAAGGCCATGTTTTATTATTTTATTTTATTTTATTCAGCTTTTATTTTATGTTTGGGCTGAAGCGATGAAACCCTAGCCGTCCTGCGTGACGGCTATTTAAAGGGGACTCTAGGAAATCCTTGGGAGTCAGTTTTTACAACAGAGAAATTCTCTCTGAGTTTTTATTCAATTGCGTTCTTCATCTTTTTTCTTCTTCTTCTTATTTCAATTATGTTTACCTTAGCCATGCGAGGCTAAGAACCTTTTAATCAACCTAAGGGTAATGGATTCCATGGATTAGTCTTGAGGATCTGCGTTTATTTCAAATCAGTTTTCGTTTCCCTTCCAAACTCAAATTGATATCGTGCGATCGTGGATATTCAATCTGAGGTTCGCGATTGCGATTATGGAAAGGGATTAATCATCAGATTTGATGATTAGGTTGATT